TCCTCTGCAATTTCATATAAATTGTAGGTTCAGCATTTCTGCAGAAAGGCCATTGGGATTTTGATATAGATTCACTGAATCTGTAGATCACTTTTGGGAGTATTATCATCTTAATATTAAATCTTCCAATCCATGAACACAGGGTGTCTTTCCACTTATTTATGTCTTCTGAATTTCTTTTAGCAGTGTTTTCTAGTGTTCACATATAAGTCATGTACCTTCTTGGTTAAATATATTCCTATTTCATTATTTTTTGCTCTGTTGTAAATGAAATTGTTTTCTTTTTTATTATTCATTGCCAGTACTCAGAGAGTTAAATAATTCTTGTGTGTTCATCTTGTATCCTACAGTTTTGCTGAATATATTTATTGGCTCTAGCAGTTTTTGTCTCTTCCTTAGTCTTCCATATGTTAAATCTCATGGTCTATAAGTAGAGATAGTTTTACTTTTTTCTTTCTAATTTGGATACATTTTTTTCTTTGTCTTACCTATTTGCTCTAGCTAGAACTTCTAGTGTAATGAATAGAAATGATGAAAGCAGGCCAGGTACAGGGGCTCACGCCTGTGATCCCAGCACTTTGGGAGGCCAAGGCAGGCAGATCACGAGGTTACCATCCTGACCAACATCCAACATGGTGAAATCCCTTCTCTACTAAAAATACAAAAATTAGCTGGGTGTGGTGGTGCACGCCTGTAGTCCCAGCCTAATATTAGGGAGGCTGAGGCAAGAGAACTGCTTAAACCCAGGAGGCAGAGGTTACAGTGAGCTAAGATTGTACCACTGCACTCCAGCCTGGTGACACTGCACTCCAGTCTGGAGTGAGACTCCATCTCAAAAAAAGAAAGAAAAAAGAAATGATGAAAGTGGAGGCATCCCCATCTTATTCCTGATATTTGGAAGAAATCTTCCTGTTTTTTAGCCTAGTGTGTTATGTGAGCTGTGGTTTTTCAGAAATGCTTTTTGTTGTGTTGCGGCAGTTCTCTTCTATTCCTACTATGTTAAATGTTTTTATCATGAAAGGATGTTTTTGTCAAATGCTTTTTCTGCATCAGTTGAGATGATCATGTGATTTGTTTTCTTCATTTTATTATTGTGATATATTACACTGATTTATTTTCTTATGGTGAGCCACCTTGCATTCCTGGAAACTTATACTTGGTCATGGTGTCTAGTCCTTTTTATTTGTTGCAAAATTTGGTTTGCTAGTATATTGTTGAGAACACATATTCAGAAGGGATATTGATGATAGTTTTGGGGTGATTTCTTTATCTGGCATTGGTTCAAGGTAACTTATAGTATGAGTAGAATTCACCAAATTTAAAGACCAACCAGTTGGTCTTGAGCCTTTCTTTCGTGGGAGGATTTGGATTACTGATTCAGTCTTCTTACATGAGTCTGTTTGGATGTTCTGTTTTTCTTTGAGTCCATTTTGGTGGTTTGTGTGTTTCTAGGAATTTGTCCATTTAACCTAGGTTATGTAATTTGTTACTATACAGTTCATTGTGTTCTTTTACTGTCTTTTTCATTTCTGTGAGGTCAGTAGTAAATTCCCTACCTCATTTAGTTCCTTCAAGTGTACAATTAGGATATTGATTTGGGATTGTTTTTAATATAGGTATTACAGCTATAAATTTCATGCTTAGCACTGCTTTATCTGCATCCCATGCATTTTGGTATTTTGTCTATTCATTGTGAGTAATCTCAATGTATGTTCTAATTTCTGTGTTTTTGGGGTTTTGTTTTGAGACTGAGTCTTGCTTTGTTACCCAGGCTGGAGTGCAGTGGCACCATCTCAGCTCACTGCAACCTCTGCCTCCTGGGTTCAAGTGATTCTCCTGCCTCAGCCATGCAAGTAGCTGGGATTACCACCATGCACCACCTCGCCTGGCTAATTTTTGTATTTTTAGTAGAGACAGGGTTTCACCATGTTGGCTAGGCTGGTCTTGAACGCCTGACCTCAAGTGATCTGCATGCCTCAACCTCCCAGAGTGCTGGGATTATAGGTGTGAGCCACCGTGCCCAGCCTAATTTCTCTTTTGACTTTCCCTTTGATCCTGTAGCAAGGTGAAAATCCTCCTATGTGTATAGCTCCTGGGGACTTCACATACTCACACTAGTATACACTTGCCTTTAGCAGGTTGTTAAATTTTTCTAGTAATTTTCTTCCTAATTGTCTTAGATGGAGTTCAGTAGCATCTGCTCCAGTAAGCAAATGAGAACATTCTGATTCTCCTGGCAGGTACCTGTCTCTCTCCTAATAGTTCAAAAAAAGGATATTAATTTTCTGTTTACCCCGCATCGTTCTCGTAAGGATGTTAGCATTGCTTTTATCGGCTCTCTACATCTCTGAGCTGAGATCTAAAGCTACACTGTATGATTTTAACTTTTTGCAATTTAGTGAGATAGACTGCCTTTTTTTTTTAATGTGCAAAGGACACCAGAGAGTTACATTATGCAGAGGTTATTCTATATATGTCAGTCAGGTTGGTTAATTATATCTTCAGTCCTCTATATCAGTGGCCAGAAAACTTTCTCTGTAAATGTCAGATAGTAGGCTTTGTGAGAGATACAGTCTCTGTTGCAACTACCAATCTCTGCAGCTGTAGCGTTAAGCAGCCATAGATAATACATAAACAAATGAAGACCGGGCACAGTGGCTCACGCCTGTAATCCCAGCACTTTGGAAGGCCGAGGCAGGCGGATCCCCTGAGGTCGGGAGTTCAAGACCAGCCTGACCAACATGGAGAAACCCTATCTCTACTAAAAATACAAAATTAGCCAGACATGGTGGCGCATGCCAGTAATCCCAGCTATTCAGGAGGCTGAGGCAGGAGAATCACTGGAACCTGAGAGACAAAGGTTGCAGTGAGCTGAGATCATGCCATTGCACTCCAGTCTGGGCAACGAAAGCAAAACTTCATCTCAAAAAAAAAAATCGAATGTGGCTATGTTCCATGAAAATTTTATTAAAAAAAAAAACAGTAGTGGTGAGCTGGGTTCGACCTTTGTGCTATAGTTCACTGACTCCTGTTCTATATCCCTGTTGGTTTTTCTTAATCCGCTTTTCTATGAGTTACTGGGAGAGTTACATTAAAATCACTAATTATAATTGTAGATTGATATCTCATTTCTGTCAACTTCTGTTTATATACAGTCAGTTCTCATTATTCTCAGTAGTAATGTTCCCAAAAGTCACTACAAACACTGAACTAATAAATACTGAACCATTGTTCAGCGGAGAAATACAGGGTTAAACCTCGGGTCACATTTTTGTCAACCAGTCAGTACATAATCTTGTTTTTATGTATCTTTATGCATAAAGACACATTATTTAATATTGTTGATTCACAAAGATTGAACTAATGGCCAACAACACCATAACTACTGCCTGAATGATCCTTATCTAACATAGATATTTTCTCCATGAGACATATCACAAGCTTCTTGCACATAGGCACAGTAGACAGCAAGCATGTAAATGCTATACATATGGGTCATTTAAAAAGTGAAATCATCAAGAAAAACACAAAAATGCAGTAAATATGGTGCTATGTAGATTGAGAAATGAACACTTATTTACAGTATCAGAGCTGAAACAAAAAAGCCTATCACCGTGTTCAGCCTCATCTGGGAACATGTAGGTCAGGCAATTCAAACTTTTTACCTTCCTGCGTATGTCCAAAAGTGACTGGAAAATAACGGCAAGTGTTGATTTTGAGATTGCAAATAATTTTAGTATGTAAATTTACAAATACGTAATCTGTGAACAATGAGAAATGATTACATTGGGAAGCTATGTTTGCCAGGTGCATACCAATTTGGGTTTGTTGTATCTTCTGTTGAAAGGACCATTTTATCATTACAAATTGTTACTGATTTTTTATACCTCTTTCTTGCCTTAAAATCTGTATATGATATTAAATGCAATCATATCAGCTATCTTTTGGTTTTGATTATATTGTATGTCTTTTTCCATCCTTTTATTTTCAATATGCATAATCCCTATGTATATAAAATATGTTTTCTTTGTTGTTGTAGTATACTTTCTTTATCTTTAATTTGATTATTTAGTCCAGAGGTTGGTAAATTTTTTCTGTAAAGGGCAAGTAATAAATATTTTCAGTTTTGACAATCATAAGGTCTCTGATGGAACTTCTCAGTGTTATTTCAGCACAAAAGCATCCATAAACAATGCAGCATGATTGGGTGTGCCTATGTGCCAGTTCACTTTATTTAAATAAAGTGGCAAGTGGCCACATGCAGTGACTCACACCTATAATCCGAGAGCTTTTGGAGGCCAACATGGGAGGATCACTTGAAGCCAGGAGTTCAAGATTAGCCTAGGCGACATAGACCACACATTAACAAAAAACTGGCAAGCCAGATTTGGCACAAAGGCCATGATTTGCTGATCCCTGCCCCGATGTATGCCCAGGGTAGTCTATTGGGTTGGAATAAAAATTGTAGGAAGTTTATTTGCATTTTTTGGTTACAAAAATAAGAATTAAAAAAAAGTTTTACTAATGTGTCTATTTATCATCTATGTATATAACTCATGAATATATATAGATCATTTATAAACATTTTCTTTGAGACAAGGTATTGCTCTGTCACCAAGGGTGGTATACAGTGGTGTGATCATGGTCCACTGCAGCCTCATCCTCCTGGGCTGAAGCAATCCCCCTGCCTCAGCCTTCCAAGTAGCTGGGACTAGAACCACACACCACCATATCTGGCTAATTTTTTAAATTTTTTTAGAGACAAGGCCTTGCTGTGTTGCCCAATCTGGTTTTAAACTCCTAGGCTCAAGCAATCCTCCCACCTTGGCCTCCCAAAGTGCTGGGATTACAGGCATGAGCCACTGCACCTGGCCTATAAAAACTTTTACTAGTTTAATACTTTCAAAGTACAAGATAAGATTAAATTCAAAGTAGGCATCCTTTATATTTGTTTAAGCTTTTTAGAGTTGAACTTGATAAAAATTGATTTCATGGGTGATTTCTACATCATCTAATTCTGAATGCTTCAGATTGAATAGAAATGTACTGTTACAGGAATCAGTGTCATTCAAGGATGTGACTATAGAATTCACCCAGGAGGAGTGGCAGCAAATGGCCCCTGTTGAGAGGAATCTGTACAGAGATGTGATGCTGGAGAATTACAGCCACCTCGTCTCAGTGGGTGAGCATGTAAACATAACCTACCCTTGTAACTCCATATGGAAAATATTTCTTTTTTAAGTGCCAGTACATGTGAACAATTTACTTAAATTTTAATGTTATTTAGGCTTTTCATTCAAGAGTCTGAAGTAATTAAGCCCTGTCAAGGACTAGAAAAAATGTATTGTCAGCTCCCAACGATAATGCACTTTCAGGATACTGCTTCCAAAGCTGTATTTTTTCCTACTTTTGGAGACTAAAATTTTATATATCTGGCCTAAGTCCTTGATTATTCTTTATTTACAGGGTACTGCCTTTTCAAACCAGAGGTGATCTTCAAGTTGGAGCGAGGAGCAGAGCCTTGGTTGTCAGAGGAGGAATTCTCAAACAAGAGTCACCCAAGTGAGTTACTGAGCAGTAGTGAACAGAATTCTGCAGGAGTGGTTAGACTCCAGGTCACTTTAGGGGGTGAACACCTGAATATTCCAAGACTTTTCTTAGAAAGCCTAAAGGCACAAAAAGCAGCAGTTAAAAGAAAATGATTAATAAAATTGATTCCATTAAAAGTAAGAAATTTGTTAATAAAAGATAGTATTCAAAGGGTGAAAAGACAAGCCATTGAGTAGCATAATATGTATATAGTGCGAATACTTTAGAAAAGATATGCTTCCTGAAAAAAGGGATATAAAGAATTTCTGCAAGTCATTATGGTTAAAGGTAGGCAACCCAATTGAAAAATGGGCAAAAATATTGAACAGGAACTTTTACTGTGGCCAGTAAATCTTTGAAAATGTGTTCAATCTCATTAATTTACATGGAGCACAAAATAATATATGAAGTGAGATATGAGGTGAAATAACAGATATGAAGTGAGATTAACAAATATGGCAATGCCAAGTCTTGGTGAGGATATGGAATGTTAGAGACCCTTAACCACTGACTGGAAATATAAACTGGTAAAACCATTGTGATATCAGGAGGATTCGTTTTTAATTCCCATAGGATTTTGATGAACAGGTGGTATTTGGTTACATGAGTAAGTTCTTTAGTGGTGATTTGTGAGACTTTGGTGCACCCATCACCCAAGCAGTATACACTGAACCCAGTTTGTGGTCGTTTATCCCTCTCCTTCTTCCCATCCTTTTACCACCCTGAGTCCCCAAAGTCCATTATATCATTCTTATGCCTTTGCATCCCACGAAGATGTTTTCTAATCAAGGTAAACTTTTGCATATGCTGTAGCCAAGCAATACCTTTTCTAATCATATGACCGACAAAAAGATATCATTGTGTTCTCTGGAATACATAAAAGAATATTAATGGTAGTATTGTTTATGTTTGGTAGAAATTGTGCTCATCAACAGTAGAATGGAGAAATAGTTGTATTCCTTAAGGAAAAAATTATACAGCCACATAAAATCTTGTACACTGATTATAAACAATATTAAGCAAAAGAAAACAAAAAATATGTATATATGGTTATATTTATGTAAAGGTGTCAGAAGCAGGCAAAATTCAACTACATTTTTAGGAATTCATGTATTGGTTATAAAACTATAAAGAAAATCAAGGAAATGACAACATAAGTATTAGGAGAGTGGTGAATTCTAAACATATAGAGTTTGTAACCAAGCATAGATAATCAGGGATTTTTTTCAGAGCCATTTGTGTTTCATGACATGGTTTCTAATTCCACGAGTGTTCACTTACTACTATTAAGTTGCTCGTGAAAGTTTTATGCAAGTAGATATTGTTTCATGCTTGATAAAGTGTAAGAGATAAGCAAGAAGTGGCAGATGATATTTGCAGTATGACCTGTCAAGGATAGGCATTTAGAATGCATAAAGTATCCAGACCTTTCTTAACCATCATTTTCACAGTAAAACATTCTGTAATACCCTATTTAAAATTGTACCCCTCATGTCAGATTGATATGTAGAAACTTAGGATGGAATGATCAGGTTCACTTATTGCTTAGTTCTGATGGAATAAATCAACAGCATGACAGCCAGAGTGGAGCAGGGCATCGAAGTTAGCTGCAAGAATGGATTTTATTTTCAACAATTTTATATTTGCTTGTATTTCTATGAATCACAATCATAAGAGGGGTTAGAGATGTAACCATTTTTTATGTAGTCATAAAGGAGTTGGTTATGTTATAAATTTAACTTGATGTTGAAGAACTGATGAGGGATATCAAATTGTAAGAATGTAGACAATAAACTATTCTAACCATTATAATCTAGATAATGTCAAGACCTGGAGTGTAATTTACTTTCTCCTTCTAAACCCGTTCCGTGTTGGGCCTATTCCAAAAATTCTGTTATCTCCTGATTTTCCTTGTTATACTACTTACATTTAGGGTTTTTGTTGTATTTATCCCATTATCTATTTTTCCTACTCCCTAAAATAACCACCCCTATAAAACTCTAAGTTTTTCTTTTCTTTCTTCTATCAACCCAGTTAGGAAAATCTTATTAATCACATGCAAAATGTGTATTTGTTACCAGTTTCCTTTTCCATTTGCACTATACCAATATTACTTTTAAAGGGGGGTGTTCTGAGATATATATTAATACACACATATATATGAATTATTTAATCTTAAGAAATCAAATAATTAAGTGCAACATAGGCTGAATGTTGATAAGCCCTACCCATAAAAGATGTAAGAGTCATAAGATGTTTTCAATATTTCTGTTTTAGAAGATTACAGAGGTGATGACCTGATCAAGCAGGACAAGAACATCAAAGACAAACACTTGCAGCAAGTAATATGTATCAATAATAAAACATTGACTAGAGAGGAAGAGAAAGTTTTAGGGAAACCATTTACTCTGCATGTAGCTGCTGTTGCTTCAACAAAAATGTCCTGCAAATGTGACTCATGGGGAGTGAATTTGCAAAGTATTTCTGAATTTATCATTAATAATAGAAACTGTTCAACAAAGAAAGTAGATTGCTGTAATCTATGTGAGAATTCACCTTTCAAAATTAACTTTGAGAAAACTCAGACTGGGGAGAAATTTTATGAACATAATAAAAATATGAAAGCTCTCAGTTATAATGAAAATCTTCCCAAGCATTCAAAGTTTCAAACTTTGGAGCAAGCTTTTGAATGTAATAAAATTGGAAAAGCCTTTAATGATAAGGCTTGCTGTGTTAAACATAAGAATCCTCACACAGGAGAAAAATCCTGTAAAGATGATGAATTTAGGAAAAAATGTGATAAGACAACTCTCTTTGACCACAGGAGAACTGGCACAGGGGAGAAACATCCTCATCTTAATCAATACGGGAAATCCTTTGAGAAGTCAACTGTGGAGGAATATAATAAATGTAACATGGGTGTGAAATATTATGAATTAAATTCAAGTGGAAATAATTTCAACACAAAGCCACACCTCACTGAACCTCAGACAACTGTCACAGAAGAGAATCCAGTGGTATGTAGTGACAGAACAGAGAGTTGGGTTAAATCCTCTGAATATCATGAAAATAAGAAATCCTACCAGATATCAGTTCACAGAGTTCACCAGAGAAGTCACTTGAAGATAAAACCCTATAAATGTAATGAATGTGGGAAATCCTTCTGTCAGAAAGGACATCTCATTCAACATCAGAGAACTCACACAGGAGAGAAACCATTTGAATGTAGTGAATGCAGAAAAACTTTCTCCCAGAAGTCACACCTCAGTACTCATCAGAGAATTCACACAGCAGAAAAACCCTATAAATGTAATGAATGTGGAAAAACATTTGTCCAGAAGTCAACCCTCAGGGGACATCAAAGAATTCACACAGGAGAGAAACCCTATAAATGTAGTGAATGTGGGAAAACTTTTGTTCAGAAGTCTACTCTCAGAGATCATCACAGAACTCACACAGGGGAGAAATCCTTTCAGTGCAATGAATGTGGAAAAACATTTGGCCAGAAGTCAAACCTCAGAATACATCAGAGAACTCACACTGGGGAGAAAACTTACCAATGTAACGAATGTGAAAAATCCTTCTGGCGAAAAGACCATCTCATTCAACATCAGAAGACTCACACAGGAGAGAAGCCATTCAAATGTAACGAATGTGGGAAAACTTTTGCCCGGACATCAACCCTCAGAGTGCATCAAAGAATTCACACTGGGGAGAAACCATTTAAATGTAATGAATGTGGGAAAAAGTTTGTCCGGAAAGCAATCCTTAGTGATCATCAGAGAATTCACACAGGGGAGAAACCCTTTCAGTGTAGTAAATGTGGAAAAACTTTTGGCCAGAAATCAAACCTCAGAATACATCAAAGAACTCACAGTAGGCAGAAATCTTATGAATGCAATGAATATGGGAAATTACATAAGAAGTCAACCCTAAGCGTATACCAGAAAATTCAGGGAGAGGGGAATCCCTATTGATGTAATAACTGGGAAATCCTTTCGACAAAAAGATTACCCCTTTTGACATCAGAGATACACAAGAAACCAATTGAGGGTAGTGAATGTAAGAAGGCAGTCCCAGAAATAAACCCTCACAGTGAATCAGAGAATTCACTTAGGAGAGAAACCATATGAAGATGAATGCAGGAAGAATTGTGTCCAAAAGGCAACCTTCAGAGGCGTTTTTGTTTCTTTTCAGAGTCCTATGGATAGGCCTGAATGAAGTCATACCCTATTAGATAGTTCTCACACATCACACAGGCTGGTAGTCTGTTCACCAGTACCAATTTCACTTTATTGCAGGCACATAACTAGTCCAAATTTCCCAATCTCCTTTTCGTCCAAGTGGGTCTTTGTGACTAGCTACCAGGTTGTGGATGTCCATGATGTATATCACATCCCAGTCTGAAAAATAAGAGACTTCCCTAACTTAACTACCAGGGTCCTATCACAACAACAAAATGGATATGATTTCTAGGACAAACTTGGTGCTGTGCTTTACTGAAGCAAAGTACGAGATAAAGAAGTCAGTGTGCCTGAATGAATATATGCAGCAAAATTCTCCTTTTCCGCATCTTTCCCAGTTGAACATTATGTAAGTAAAAATTAAGTTTGTACAGTAGTCCCCCCTTATCTGCATTTTCACTTTATGCAATTTCTATTAGCCATGGTCAACTGCACTTTAAAGTTATTAAATGGATCCAGAAATAAGCAATTTCTACATTTTAAATTGCACACAATTCTGCGTAGTGTGATGAAGTCGCATGCCCTCCTGCTCTCCATGTGGTTTGCTGAATCATCTCTGAGTCTAGTGTATCCACCGTGTATACACTGTCTGCCAGTGAGTCACTTACTTGGCATTTTAGTTATCAGATCACCTGTCAGGCTGTGGCAGTGCTTGTATTCAAGTAACCCTTATTTTACTAAATAATGACCCCAAATTGCAAGAGCAGTTCTACTGTCATGTTATTATAATTATTCTACTTTATTATTAGTTGTTAATCTCTTGCTGTGCCTAATTTATAAATTAAACTATCATAGGCTTGTATATATAGGAAAACGTAGTATATATAGGGTTCAGTATTATGCTGTGAGAAGCCCAAGCTGTGGAGAGGCCCCAGGCAGGTGCCCTGGTCAGCAGCCCAAGCTAAACACCCAGCCAACACCAGAAGCTGCAGCCAGCCATGTGAGTGAGCCTTTGCGCATGTCTAGCCTCGTCAAGCCCTACAGCTGTCTTCCCATGAAACCACACAGCCAAGTCCAGGTGGAAAATGTGAAAGATGTTTCTACCAAGTCACTGAGTTTCTGGGTGGTTTGTTTTGCAGTAACCAAGAACCAGAACGGTGTGGTCTGCACTCTCCAGTGGCCCCCCTATGTTCAAACACTTCACTCAGCAAGCATCATCACCCAACACCTGGACCTAATCACTCCGCAGGGTCTTTCACTACAGAATCTTTTCTCAGGGTTGCAGATGTGCCAGTCTCTGCTAAGATGCTCACCTCTTTATCTTCCCTTAGTGATTGGCTGCTCTGGTTGATGTCAGCTTTCCCTTCCTCCCGGAAGTCCTCCCTCATCACCTCCTTCCCCCTAACAGCTCCAGCTCCTTGAGGTCAGGCCTGTCTCTTCCACCGTGGCGATGGCCTGTATATGTTGGGTCCTTCATAAATTCTGTTTCAAATCTAGGACCCAACCTGTACAGTTAAGGGATTTACCTTGGGAATCTTCCAAATCTTCTTGCTACAATGGACTACTTTTATTATAAAATCCAAATAATTTAACAGTTGCCACTTTTGTGATTTTATGTCAAAAAGATGAAGTTTGGCTGGGTGTGGTGGCTCATGCCTGTAATTCCAGCACTTTGGGAGGCTGAGGTGGGCGGATCGCCTGAGGTTGAGAGTTCAACACGAGCCTGGCCAGCATGGTAAAACCCTGTCTCTACTAAAAATACAGAAATTAGCCACGCATGGTGGTGGGTGCCTGTAATCCCAGCTGCTTGGGGAACTGAGACAGGAGAATTGCTTGAACCCAGGAGGCAGAGGTTGCAGTGAGCTGAGATCACACCATTGCACTCCAGCCTGGGCAACAGAGAGACTACGTGTAAATAAATAAGTAAATAAATTACTTTTAGCAACCACTAGAGAAGGGCACGTAAGAGTCCAGGATAGCACATGATTCAATTCAGATGAACTTAAATGGAGCCTGCTGGAGGCTTTGTGGGATGAGACCCCACTGTCCACCTAGTTTTCTTCCTGGAAGATTATGGAGTCTATTCACTAAACGCTTGTAACTATCCTTTATATTTTTTTCACTGGGAACATGAGACTTTTGAAAAAACAGGTGATGAAACTGTGTTCTTTTAGCCAATACATGTGGGAAGTTTTTCAGCTTTTAAAACCAATTCAGGTGCTTACAGGTAGGTTGGTGTAAATGTAGCCACAGACTCTCACTTTGGGTCCTCTGTCTTCCACCTTCCAAGGCCAGCACACCATTCCTGAAGCCCAGCCTCACACCGTGGAGTTTATCCCACATCCCTTGAGGACCCAAAGACAAACAGCCTTGGCAATGCATTGTCTCACCTCAACTGCAAAGTAGCCATGGGGCCCTCACCAGCAGTGGGGGAAGATGCGCCAGAAACTGGCCCTGATACCTTTGTCCTGTAACCTGACTGGGCTGCAACCACCTTGGGTGAGATAAACATGATCTCTAAGGCTCTTTTTCAGTATTGAAATTGCCCATATGTCTGATCACTTTAAAGAAAAATGTAATTTTTTTCTTTATTAAAATAATTTTCTTTTGTCCTTATAGATCGTTTGTCATATTTTGCTTCAATCAAGGGTTGGGTCAGACACAGCCACTGGGGAGCTGACATGAGATCTGCACATTTGTTACTAGAAGAGTCAGAAGGCCACCCACTTTTCCTGTTAGTGAACCAGTGGCACAGCAGGTATGGCTTAGAGCCCAGCTTCATGCTTGATTACTGATACATTTTGGCTGTGTCCCACCCAAATCTCATCTTGAATTTTAGCTCCCACAATTCCCACATATTGTGGAAGGCACCTGATGGGTGGTAATTGAATCATGGGGGCAGGTCTTTCTCCTGTTCTCATGACAGTGAATACCTCTCACAAGATCTGATGGTTTTTTAAGGGGAAACCCCTTGCCCTTGGCTGTCATTTTCTTCTTTCTGCTGCCATGTGAGACATGCCTTTCACTTTCCACCATGATTGTGAGGCCTCCCCTGCCACGTGGAACTGTGAGTCCGTCAAACCTCTTTCTTTTGTAAATTGGCCAGTCTTGGGTATGTCTTTATTAGCAGTGTGAAAACAGAGAAATACAGCAACACAAAAAGTCAGTGCATCAAAAACAGAAAGAAACCCCAGAGCGCGAGCACGGCGCAGCCCAGCCCGAGCGGACCCGGCGCCTGCAGCCTTGGCGCTGCCATGGTGGAGGCGGCGGTGCCCACCCGGGCCGCTGCGGAGGACCTTCTCGGTGCCTTGAGATTGAGTTGCTGGACCAGTGCGAGTTCTCGCGGGCCAAGGCCGGGGCCAGCCAGGCGTGGGTGCTGCGGGCGGCGTTCGGGGGGCGCAGAGCACGTACCCCCGGAGCTGTGGAAGCCCTTCTATACTGACCAGTATGCGCAGGAGCACTTGAAGCCCCCAGTGACACGGCTGTTGCTCTCAGCCCATCTCTGCTGCAGGGCCTGGCGCCAGGCACTGCCACAGTTTGAAACACCCCCCAACCCCTCTGCACTGCTGGCCCTGCTGGCGCGGAGGGTCATGGTGCCTGCATTGCCGGAGCAGCAGGTGTGCAAGGCTGACCTGAGGCACCAGCCCATTCTCATGGGAGCCCATCTAGCTGTCATTGATGTCATCATGGCTGCCTTTGCCTTTGAGTGGACAAAGGCCCTGCCAGGTCCCTTGGCCCTCACCAGCTTGGAGCACAAGCTGCTTTTCTGGGTGGACATGACCGTCTGGCAGCTGCAGGAGAAGACAGAGCAGGAAGCGGCCCAGAGAGCCTCTCCAGCAGCCCCTGCAGACTGGGCGGCCCCCGCGCAGCCCTAGATCCGATACCGCAAGGACCGGGTGGTGGCACGGCGTGTCCCCTGCTTCCCAACGGTGACCAGCCTCCAGGACCTGGCCAGTGGGGCTGCACTGGCCAGCACCAGCCACTGCTATTGTCCCCAGCTGCTTCGACTTGAGGAGGTGTGCCTGAAGGACCCCATATCTGTGGTGGACAGCCTGTACAACCTCCAGCTGGTGCAGGACTTTGTGCCTCCCGCCTTCCCCGTGGCTGCCTCCTGTCCCTCGAGGACTTGCTCTACGTCCTCCCGCTGCTCAAGGTCAACTTGGTGGTGCTGCTGGCTGAGTTGTTCATGTGTTTTGAGGTGCTCAAGCCTGACTTCCTGCAAGTGAAGGACTTGCTGGATAGTCACGCCGCCTCCCCCAGGGCACGGAGGCCCCCGCCCCCAACAGCATTGGCAGCAGTTCTCCTGTCTTCCACATCCACCTCCCACTCCTGTCACCTGGCGGCCTCAGTCCCCACTCCGAGGATCCACAGGCTCCCTGAAGTCTTCCCCATCCATGTCCCATATGGAGGCCCTGGGCAAGGCCTGGAACCGGCAGCTCAGCGATGTGGATGTCGTCATGGGAGACCCTGTGCTCCTCCGCTCTGTGAGCTCGGACAGCCTGGGACCCCCCACATCCTGCGCCGGCCAGGACCCCTGCCCAGCACCCCCCAGAGCCTGGCGACCTGCCCACCATCGAGGAGGCTCTGCAGATCATCCACAGTGCCAAGCCCCGGCTGCTCCCAGATGGGGCGGCTGATGGCAGCTTCTACCTCCACTCCCCTGAGGGGCCCTCCAAGCCATCTCTGGCCTCCCCGTGCCTGCCTGAGGGGACCTCCAAACTACTGTCCGACAAGCCCACCAAAGCACTGGTGTACGTGCTACACCCCGAGACCCTCTCAAAACCATCTTGGCGGGGGGGGAGGCATCGAAACCGCCGGCCCCATCCGAGGGGTCCCCAAAGGCAGCGGCTTCTTCCCCCGCGGCCACCAACTCCGAGGTGAAAATGACCAGCTTTGCGGAACGCAAGAAACAGCTGGTGAAGGCAGAGGCTGAAGCTGGAGCAGGGTCCCCCACGTCTACTCCAGCCCCGCCAGAGGCCCTGAGTTCAGAGATGAGTGAGCTTGGCGCCCGGCTGGAGGAGAAACGCAGAGGCATTGAGGCCATCTTTGCAAAGCACTGCCAGCGGCTGGGCAAAAGCGCCTTCCTGCAGGTGCAGCCAAGGGAGGCTTCTGGGGAGGCGGAGGCCGAGGCCGACCCTGGCCCAGTCCCTGGTGGGGAGCGGCCAGTGGGTGAGGGCCAGGGTGAGCCAACTTTACGGCCCAAGGTAGTGACCTTCTCGCCAGACCTGGGTCCGCTGCCCCCCGAGGGGTTGGGGGAATACAATCAAGCGGTCAGCAAGCTGAGTGCCGCTTTGAGCTCTCTGCAGCGGTACATGCAGAGGCTCATGGACCAGCAGCAGCGGCTGCTGGCCCTGCCAGAGGCCCCTGGACCTGCCGCCCACCCTGCTGCAAGGATCATCCCTGGCCCCACGACGACGGGGTCCAAAGTCTTGTCCCCCAGCCCCGCCCAGTGGGTCCCGGCCACCCGGTGCAGCCCTGGGCCCGGGCCCAGCCCGTCACCCTGAAGCCTGAAACACACCCGGCCAGCGGAGCTGCGGCTGGCGCCCCTGACCAGGGTGCTTACACTACCCCGCGACATAGACAGCCTCCCCCACCTGCTCAAGTTCTCCCCGAGCCAGGTGCCTGTGCAGACGCGCTCCTCCAACCTCCTGGCAGAGGGGACACCCCCCGAGGAGCCAGCCGCCCTCCCGGCCTCATCGAGATCCCGCTGGGCAGATCCCGCCGCCGAGGAAGACGGAGACGGGAGTCCCCCGGTGCTGAGGATTCCTTGGAAGAGAAAGTGTCTTCAGAGGGGTAGCCCCGAGCGGGGCTGGGGTTCTTCTACAAGGATGAAGACAAGCCTGAGGATGAGAGGGCCCAAAAGCGGGCCATCCTGCTGGAGCGGCAGCAGCGGCGAGCAGAGGAGGCGCGGCAGCGCAAGCAGTGGCAGGAGGCGGAGAAGGAACCGCGGAGGGAGGAGGCCGCGAGGCTGGCCCATGAGGAGGCCCCTGGCCCAGCCCCAGCCCTGTCCACAGTCCCTGCAGCCCCCACGGCCACCCCGGCGCCTGCTGCCCGGGCCCCAGCCGAGGAGGAGGTGGGCCTCCGGCGGGGGGACTTCACGTGGCTGGAGTACGAGCGCTGAGCCCAGCTGAAGCTGATGGACGACCTTGATAAGGTGCTGTGGCTGCCCCGGGGCTGCGGGGTCGGGGGCCCGGGTCGGGGCGGGCTGAAGGCGCCGCGGCGTAGCTCAGGTTGCTGTGACGACTCGGCCCTAGCGCGAAGCCCGGCACGCAGCCTGCTGGGCTCTCGGCTGAGCAATATCTATTCCCAGTCCACCCTGTCACTGTCCACTGTGGCCAATGAGGCCCCCAATAACCTCGGGATGAAGAGGCCCACGTCTCGGGCTCCCTCCCCGTCGGGCCTCATGTCCCCAAGCTGCCTGCCTGGGAGCCGTGAACGGGACTGGGAGAATGGCAGCAATGCCTCCTCCGAGCAGCGTCGGTGCCCGAGCACACAGGTCCACGGCTGTACAAGGAGCCTAGTGCCAAGTCCAACACATTCATCATCCACAACGCTCTGTCACACTGCTGCCTGGCGGGCAAGGTGAACGAACCGCAGAAGAACCGCATTCTGGAGGAAATTGAGAAAAGCAAGGCCAACCACTTCCTGATCCTCTTTCGCGACTTGAGCTGCCAGTTCAGGGCGCTCCACACACTCAGGGGAGACGGAGGAGCTGTCGCGGCTGGCGGGCTACGGGCCCCGGACCGTCACACCCGCCATGGTGGAAGGCATCTACAAGTATAACTCGGACCGCAAGCTCTTCATCCAGATCCCCGCCAAGATCATGTCCATGAGCGTTGATGCCTTCACCATCCAGGGACACCTCTGGCAGGGCAAGAAACCCACCACTCCCAAGAAGGGCGGCAGCACCCCCAAATAGCCCCACCCAGGGCTGGGCCCTGTGTGCTGCGGCCACCGCCTCCCGGAGGACAGTGAGTGGGTGTTCCTGGGTCCTGTCTGTCCCCAGCCGTGTCTGGGTGGGACTGGAGCCTCTACCCTCTGACTGAGTCCAGTCCTGCTGTGGGGGCTGAGCTGGGAGGTTCAGGGACTCAGGGCTCAGCTCAGTCCCCTTGTCTGTCCTCCCCCACTTCTTGAATAAAATAATTTAAAGAGAAGTTGTGCCTTGTCCCCTCCAAGGCTGGCCGGGGTCCCACACTCCAAAAAAAAAAAAAAAAAAAGTACATTTGAAGTTACATTTTATTTAAACAGGTAAAAATGTATATGTCCTTTTAAAATTAAATCCAAAGTAAGTGAATCAATAATACAAACATGTTTATAACAGTAATTAAAATAGAGGTAACATTTACCACTGTGAAAATATCACAGAAGTCAAATCACACTTAGATCTTCAATGACTGAAGTGTGCATCCCACACAGTAGGGGCTGGTAGACAGAAGATAAATTCCTCCTCCGGATGTGCCATCCGCAGTCAAGTCCCCTCATCACCACCCATCAGCTCACACAGTGGGGTAGCTGGCTGCTGTGGCGATTCCACAGTTGTTCCTCCAGTCTTTGGCCATCTTCATGCAGCCATCCATGCCCCAGCGTTTACCCCAGCTGAAAGGAGAGCAGGTTTTCCATTTCAGAGGAAGGGTAAAGCACATTGGGTTATTAACTTAAACGCTGTGCCAGAGCCACGGGCTTAACATAAAGAATCAGGAGATGTTGATTTTCCTGTTCGTCCCTTATAAATTCTTGAGTCTAAACCTGCATATCACTTCCACCCCAGAGCCGAAACTGTGACCTTTCACAGAAGTGTAAAATCAGAAACAAAAAGGATAGGATGTCTTTCCAGCTAGATATGCTTCAGAATTAAGAAAATGTTCAAAATTTGGACATGCAGTAGGACAAATACCATATTAATATCCCCAGCATGCTCATGATAGTATCTAGATGTTATAATCAATCATTAATATCCTATGTTCTACCTAAGGGGGATAAAAACTTCTGGGATTTCAAAATGTGCATAAGGGCTTGTGGTATCTAAATACTAATTGCAAAAAAGGATTCCTTTTTGAATTTCAGCTCCAAGTATTTTTCTGGCAATTTATACCTGTTCCTCACCAGCCAATGTTCGTTGTTATCCGACTCTGCCCCTTAATAGCCATAGCCAGCCACCAGCATAGCATGATCCAGAGTCACTCAAAATAAATGCATGAGAGAAAAAAATGAAGACTTGGTGAGAAGCTCCCAAGGACACCTGACAGTAACCCACCCTGTCACCCACAGGGAGGGAGGCATCTCTAAAATCATTAAAATGACATGCAATCCAGATCGGGCTTAACAAGATCTATTATTATCAAGGCTAGGGATTTAGGCTCTCATCCTCAACTAGCAGAAATAGAAATTAGCATGATCTTTCATAAAAAAACTTTCCTACAGGCATAAAAGACCACTATTTTTGTAATTCTACTCTAGAATATCAGTCTTAAAAGCACAGAACACCAAAATCCTTGAATAAAAAGGCTTTTTTCAGATTTAATCACAGAATTAAGGATCTTTGGAAGAATTCTATGAATCTAACAATTAGATAATATTTAAGTAAATTAAACTATACTATAAATAATATAGCTATGTATAAAGTTATGTAGTACTTATTTTCATGGAGATATGCTCAGTGTAATATCAAGTGGAAGCATCGGGTATGAATACTGCCAGTATAGAGCCCATCATGCTGGGACGTCATGGTGGCTTACTCTTTTTCTGCAATAATTTCTATGAAGAAAGATGCTCACCTTTTCTATAGAACTGGAAGGAGACATGGCTTGCATGAACAGCAACAGAGATGGGCCCCACAGTTGCCACTGCCTTTGTCAGGTTCTCCTCCCATGAAGGGATGTCCACAAAGCCAGTGTCATTAGCAACAGAATACTTCAGATTGTACCTACAGGTTTTAACAAAGGTAAACACGGAAGAGACATGATTACCGCCATCCTTCTCCTGGGGAACATGAGTCAGAACCACAACACTCAGCAGTTTGCAGCACAGAATTTCTCAGTCAACACTGTTATAAATCATCCAAGGAAGTGAAATGTTACTATTAATAGTTAATTTGAAAATGAAAATTAGCTCCGGTCGCTTCAATGAGACCCCTAGGTTTACTTTTCATAAGACATTTTTCACAATGGAGAAATGTGTTTTGTATATGTAGAATGGTTTGTATATTCTCCATGTTACATAGAAGCAAAAACAGCTGTGTTAACCATGTACTCACAGAACTGTGCAAAGGCTATAACGACAATACTGACAGTTTGCAGAGATAGATTCCCCCATCTAAAATGTGAATTCTGAAAAGCATCTGTTACCTCTGAAAGTGTCCCAGTAAAACAAAGCAGGAATGGCAACAAGAAAAGGAGCTCTCATATGGATAGGATGCCTCAGAGTCCAGGCCTCTGTTGTGCTGAACATACTGGAAGGAATGATCCATTAAGCTAGCATCGCAGCCCTGATTGACTTGAGGCCCAGAGCAGTCTACCAGATTCTGCTCACTCAGTGAGATCAGTTTGCCAGTTTTCTGGAAGATCTGCCCTTGTACTAAAAGCCCAACAAGAACCACAATGACCCTGAAAAGAGAATTAAAAAGCTCACAGGCGTGCGTGCACACACACGCAGAGCACAACTTTTAACAACAGCTCATATATCTGAATACCCCTTAAAAATGTGAACTGCATGTTGCTAACACTCTGCCACAGCACAAATGTCAATCACTTCTTGGCTTTCCTGGGGTGAGGTGATGAGGTCTGAACCTGACACTGTCTCACCTGATTCTTCACAGGAGTCACGTAGCCTTTCTCTCCAGTCCACAGATGTGGGGACCTCAAGAAGCAGAGTTTCCTGGAACACATTCCTCTTCCTGTGCTTCTGATATTGAAACCCATTCATCACCTGCCTGAATTCTTCATTGCCCTTCAAGGAAAAATAAATAAAATGTTAAAAAGCAAGAGATTCATTTGGTAAAGAACTGAGGAGGGAAAGCACAGAGTTCAGCCATCCACAACACACTCACCATGTCTCCAAAGGCATTCATGGCCATTGTGAAGCTGTTCCCCCTGCCTGTATTCCTGGTTGTGCTGCTCCGTCATCTTCATGTTCTTCTCCCTCACTGCTGTCCTCCATTTTTCTTCATTCTAGAGGCAAACATGTAACTGATGCTCTTTATTTCTATCTAAAAGCCAACCTGTGCTCCCCAAGTGAATCTTCAGACAGAGATGAAAGAGAAACCATGGCAAGGGAAGGCTTGACACCTCTGGGAGCTATTCTCCAAGCTGAGACACAACAGTCGTGTATGCCCACATCATGCCATTAGGTTATTGGTAAGAGCTGGCCTCTAGAAGCTACTCTCTGGCCATATGATCCCAATAGCAAGGTCCATCGCTCTGGGGTTCCCCTGGACAGTTTCAGGTGCCACCAATGCCATATAATCTCTTGTGCTTTGCCTTCTGTTCTATTGTGCAGCTAAAATGTGATCACGTGTTAGAGCAGCTGAGGCAATTCCCAGGCAAAGGGCAGCCAGGAGTAGTGAAGGATTCATGTTTCAAAACCTAGGAAGGGTCAAGAAATGAGGATCTGATTAGACCAGTCCTAAAAAGCCATCTTACTGCCCCCTGAGGAACTAGGGCCACCACGGTAGAATACAAATCTTTAAATGATTCTCCCAAGCATTTACCCAAGGACTACGGAAACAGCCAAGGATCTGGTTGGAGAAAAACAGGGATTGGATGGACCCACCAAATAAAAAGCAGCGTGCCCCGAGCGGTAGGAGTTGAAACACTTCATGCGATGATAATTTAGCTTATGGAAAGGATAGGAAGGTACCCTATGGGCAAGAAGCTTAAGGCAGCAACCAGGAAACTAGGAAACAGTTGGCTCAGGTGTAGTACCAGCTGTGCTGAGGTCATCCAGGCAAAACCTCACTGAAGACATCTAATCTCAAGAAGGGACAAAGGGATCTCCAATAATCGGGAAGTCACTTCACACCTTGTTCTTGGCTAATACACAGCAGAAGGTGAGCTATGTTTTCCAAACTCCCCTTGAAATGAAACAGTTCTTGAATGTCTTCCCAGGAGAAACTGGGAAGGAGAGCACCTATCTACCGCAGCTCCAGTCCTACAGGTGGGCTAGTCCTCCCAACACTCCAACCCCCCTACCCCTCACAGAGCATAAACCTGATCAGGTGGCTGAACCGCTGGAAGCCAGAGTCCCCAGTGTCCGCACCCACACAGGGGTAGGCGGCTTCCCTGGCTTTGGGCTGGGGTTCCAGGCCAGGTCCCCTGCCTCTTGCTCATGCCCTCTGCTCATGTTCACTGTGGCTCCAGGACCCGGGCAATGTTGCAGGGAGCAAGGGGCGCCTCTGCCTGATTTGCTGGGGTCAAACCTCCCTATGACAGCCCACCAGCAACATCTGGTCTGAGGTCCATCTTACACCAGCAACATCTGCTCCAAGCTCCATCTTGCTTGGAGCTCCTTGTTGCTCAGAGGTCTATCTGATCTGAGCTCCATCTGGTTTCAAACTCCAATTACTCCAAGCTCCATCTTGCTCTGAGCTCCATCTTACACCAGGAAACAACTTCTGAAAACTCCATCTTACTTGGAGGTACTTCTTGCTCAAAGCTCTATCTCCTCCTAGCTCCATCTTGCTCAGAGCTGCAATCACTCTGATCTGTATCTTGCTTTAAGCACCCTCTACACAGACCTTATTTTTTCTCAGAGTTCTGATCATTCTGAGGTTCATCTTGCTCTGAGCACCATCTACTTGGAGCTCCAGATTGCTCTGATTACCATCTGCTTGGAAGCAATTTCTGTGAGCTCCATCTGTTCTGAGCTCTAATCACTCTAAGCTCCATCCATCTTGCTGTGAGTACTATATGCTCCGAGCTCCATCTGCTCCAAGCTCCATCTGCTCCGAGCTCCATCTTGCTCAGTGCTCCATCTTGCTCAGTGCTCCATCTGCTCCGAGCTCCATCTGCTCCAACTGCTCCGAGCTCCATCTGCTCCAACTGCTCCGAGCTCCATCTTGCTCCGAGCTCCATCTTGCTCCGAGCTCCATCTGCTCCAACTGCTCCGAGCTCCATCCTGCTCCGAGCTCCATCCTGCTCCGAGTTCCATCTTGCTGCGAGCTCCATCTGCTCAGTGCTCCATCTGCTCCGAGCTCCACCTGCTCCAAGCTCCATCTGCTCCATCTGCTCAGAGCTCCATCATGCTCCGAGCTCCATCCTGCTCCGAGCTCCATCCTGCTCCGAGCTCCATCTGCTCAGTGCTCCATCTGCTCCGAGCTCCATCTGCTCCCAGCTCCATCTGCTCCCAGCTCCATCTGCTCCGAGTTCCATCTTGCTCTGAGCACCATCTGCTCAGAATGAACCTATATGGTTTCATTAGAATTTGGTTCAGCTGCATAAGTAAAACAAAAGATAATAGTGGCTTTATTTTTTTTCTCACATAAAAGATGTCTGAAGGGAGATAGTCCTGAGGTGGGATGGCAGCCCCATGGTCACTGTGTCTCAGGCTTTTAGCTTTTTGCTTTGCCATCCTCGATGCTTGATTTCCATGTTATGGTCTAAACTGGCTGCTGGAACTCCAGCCATTACAACTGCATTCTGGGAAGAAGGGAGTGAGAAATAAGGGAAGGAATGAGAAATGAAGGGAGAAAGGGAGAAAGGAAAAAGGAATCCTTTTCTTACTTTTTAAAAAAAAGACTTTCTTAAATGATAGCTTATAGTAATTTATCTCTATAATTGTCCACAACTTACCTGGCCATACAGGAGACTGGAAAATCTACTATTACACTATAGGTAGCAATGTGCCTCGAATTAGGTTCAGGTATTAAGATAGAGGGTTGGGATAGGCAGCTAGCAATTTTTCTTATACTAACAATTCATTATTATTTTTTAAGTGTCAGGGTGTGGCTGGTCCAAAAAGCTTACAAGCAAAATTAATAATTGACATTGGAACTTTATTTTTTTTTTGAAGTATCACTGCGATCTTGAATTCAGCAGGAAACAAGCAAGTAAATGTGTGAAATAATGATTCCAGCCCACAAACCTTCCTAGTATTCCCATGAACAATATTCATTAATTCCAAGCTACACATTTGAAACATACAAAAAACTGTTCTGAGGCCAAAGAACAGCATGTGTAGTTTGGTTTGCTGCCACCAAGGGACGAGAAAGCTGTGCATGGCCGCGCATGGTGAACAGCTGGCCCACACACAAGCTGAGCTCGCTGGAGTTGGGTGTATTCGTGTATTTTCCCTCTTCCTTCCCAACATCCCAAAGATCAGTTATATAAAGAAAAAAACCACTGAATTTAAAATATTTCACTACAAAGTATTACACTGAATCTACGACGTTATATTCTTCAAGCACTGCAATTCCTCAAACAGCCAGTAGAGACACAAAGGTAAAGCTGGAAGGACCTTAGAGGGTGTCCAGGCTAGGTGTCTCCTTTTCCAGAG